GAACCAAAATCCGCCAACGTTGATTCTTTACTGCGGCTGAAATATTCATTTTTAGAGCGTTAGTGAATTAAAAAAAAGCAGTATAAAAACCGGAATGTCCAACTGATAAGGCTGAAAATTATTTCACTTGTTATTTACAGTAAGATAAATACATTCACCAACTTTTATTAAAATAAAACCATTTAAACTGGGTGTTCGGATTTATATGTCACTTAGTATAACAATGTAACATTTAAAACTTGTTCTGCGGTTGTCTCGATGATGAATCTCCATATTTGACGAGCCATCAAAATTCAATAGATGGAAAATTGAAAGATTTATCCACGTTCCGGCCACCTGTACTTTGAAAAGAGCCACCAAGATGGCCGAATCGTCTGGGAATCTTTCAATTCTGCATCTGTGGTTCATCTGTTGGTTGGTGAAATATAGAGGTTCTTGACTAGAAGTTACAAGGTCTGTCAATTAAGTGATGAGACTGATCCTTCTATTCAAATATAATTACAATTTTGTTGTCACCCTCAAAATGACTTGCTTCTGAAACCACACAACGCTAAAGAGGGTTCTCCACTCCTCATAGCAGTACTGGAACCCCGATACTGGAATAGCCTTCAGCTTGTTTCCGACTGTCCCAAAATGAGTTCCCTTGACAAGGAACGTTATAGTGATCTGATAACGGTGGTGTGGGTTAACACTTTCCCGATCATTCTGAATGTCAACCGACGAACTGAACGCAGAAGATCCCGGATTCTGACTATGTTTTCATCGGTTCTTGAAGATGAAGGCCTTCCGCTTCGTGGTTTAGTCAACTTCAACCGACTCTTTCCCTTCTGAAAATGCCTTGAGCCACCGAAAAGCCTGGGCTCCGAAGGTCTGTTTAGCAAGAGTTTCCGCTGCACTGTACCCACGTCTGCAGCAAAACCGTTGCTTAAAATTGTCACTCATTCCCAAACCGTTTCACAAAAAAAAGCTACGGATAACCAAATGTCTCGAGCGAGTTCAAACTTGTACTAAATGCGGATCACATGTTCTCCTGTCTCTTCTCCAAGCCCGGCGTCTGCAGTGTTGCCAGTTCGAACGCTACGTCTCATCACTTAATGTACTCGTATATACCTCGTTTATTTTATTTATATTAAGTCAGTTATTCTTTTTTAGCCCAATTGTTACGCAAAAGTGATAACAATAGAGTCGCAGAAGAAAATTGTGATATACTCAAAACAAAGCATAGGTGTAAATGAAGAAATAACGTATGATTACAAATTCCCGATAGAAGACGAAAAAATCCCTTGCCTTTGTGGGGCGGCTACTTGCCGTGGAACATTGAATTAAGCCGGTATTTCTGGCTTGCATTATAAATGTACGCTCTGTGATCGGTTACAGAAATTTTGTATTTCCGTCTTTTACATATGCTATGTCTTTAATATGGAAATTAATAATTCAGCCAAGTCGTTCAGACTGTCTAAAGGAAATCAAGAAGATTTTATAACAATGTAGTTAAAAGCAGCAAAAGAAATCTTATTGTACCACACACACTGCTGAACATAACTGAAAGACGTGACTAATGTTTGCAAAATTTCATGTAACAAAATGGTACTTCAGCAGCTAGATATAACATACATATTCTCAAAAAAGTATTCCAAAAGGTCGCTCCGGATAATGCTAAATTTTAAACTTTTTAAAATCTAATATAATATTTTTCTCGCAATCGAGCCATATAGAAAACACACGTTCTTGTGAATAATATTCCCAGATCAATAACGGTGTATGAAAATAAACATTTTCTGTGAAATTCAGCTACAATTGCATGCATTTATTTTATAAGATTAGCCATAAGCGAATTTTCAATCCATCATATTTTATTTAAATCACAAAAGAAATTTCTGAAGCTTGTCATACGAGTATTTTCGCTTTTCTGATCCAATCGGTGAAAAAGGAGGTACGGATAATGGATAATTGATTTCATTAATATTGGCATTTGGTATCAAATGAAATATTGGTCATGTTGACACCGTGGATTAATTATTTATTAAAATAAAATTTATAGTTGACATAGTTGACATCTATTTGCCGCCTTGTAAATCTAGTTTTCAACTTAATTTACTTAGCATGGCTTGTATTTACCTTTCATTTTAATGCTGCGTTTTGATAATTTTTGATAGATTTGGCGTTTTGAATGAAGTGGCTTTAATCTGACATTTTAGACACCACTAGAAAGCAGCACTTATGCCCATCCTGTGATAATCTTGTTTTGACATATGCCAATGCATTTCCAGTTTAAGTTAGGTTATCTCAGAAGCTGAAAATGCAAATCTGAGCTGGGTCAAACTTTTTTCGAATTGGTATAATCCGTTCATCATCAGTGGAGTTATTTATTGGCTATAGTAAGAGAATTGGAACGGCGAACGCCTCCAAAACTTTTATGAAATACTTTTTTGAGGGAGTAAAGCATTATGTGGTTCTGTGTATTTGGTTTTTTGTTCCACAGTCTTTTTTGTATACTCATAACCATAGCTTCCAACATGTGTTATGTATATAGTTATATTTTTTACAATATTTTTAAGATCAATTGTCGGCTATCATATTTATTTTGATTCATATTTATTAAAAAATTCGATGTGAACGGTAATTTCAAGAATCTAATATTTGAACGTTTATAGAAGCACTGGTTTTCTACACACTTAAACGCAAAAACCCATAATCACAGAAAATATGTACATTTTGTATAGACTTGTTCATTTCTGGAATATTGTGGATTTTAGAACAATGCGGATGAGTGTTGTATTATAGTGAGAATGTAATAATTTTTAAATTATATGTTTTTTATATGTATATAAATGTTGTAAATATTAGTTAATATAGTTATCGTGTTTTTAATTCGAACACTCTGTAATAAAATGAGAAAACTGTTTCAGCATTTTATTTTCATTCCTCTATTTCCAGAAACTCATTTTTTTATCACCTGGCAGCCTGCATGATAAGCCTGTCATTAAAAAAGTCGCAGGTATTAGGATCTAAAGAATTACGAGAGGTACGATTCCCCTATAGGAATGAAAACAAATCCTCACCCCTCCAGTTTAGAATATTTGTAGGAAACATCGACATTTTCGGACATACGAGGTATTGATTTGAGATCGTCGATGTCAGTTACCAATACAAAGTAAGTTATTTCTGATCGCCCACACCTATCAAGCATCTCAGAAAAAAATCGTCAAGACAAAAGTTGCAGGATTAAATTTTGTGTGGCCTGTGATAACACTATAAAGAACCTCCGTGTATGGAGGCACAGAATTAGTTTCAAATCGTTTAAGAAAGACGTACGTAGGGATGAATATATTTTACATTCGGCTACTCTCTAATAGATGGCGCTGCATATCGGTAGCTACCATAAGGTCCACCATTTTGAATGACTACCTTGAGCTGCTGAAATCCGTTCAGTAAGTCCCAATGCGTGTAAGGAGGAGGACGCTTTGTTTTTCAACAAAGCCAAATCCAATACGTAATATTAGAATATAATAAACTAATATAATCAAAAAATGGGGGGATTCTAACCCCCCTCATGGAAATTTAAGATCCTTGATCATTGAAGATTCGTTGCCATAGACACGTCCCGAACCCCGACCAACCGCCCCTAAAGGATCTTTTTGACTAGTTAAATTTTGTGAGGTCTGTGATAGCACTTTACATAGAAGCGCCATCTATCGGATGGTAGCCCAACTAAACGAATTTTTTTTGGTGGCGGCTACTATCCAACAGATGGCGCTGCATATCGGTAGCTACCATAAGGTCCACCATTTTGAATGACTACCTTGAGCTGCTGAAATCCGTTCAGTAAGTCCCAATGCGTGTAAGGAGGAGGACGCTTTGTTTTTCAACAAAGCCAAATCCAATACGTAATATTAGAATATAATAAACTAATCCATTCAAAAAATGGGGGGATTTTAACCCCCCTCACGGAAATTTAAGATCCTTGATCATTGAAGATTCGTTGCCAATAGACCCATCCCAAACCACGACCAACCGTCCCTAAAGGATCTTTTTGACTAGTTAAATTTTGTGAGGTCTGTGATAGCACTTTACATAGAAGCGCCATCTATCGGATGGTAGCCCAACTAAACGAATTTTTTTTGGTGGCGGCTACTATCCAACAGATGGCGCTGCATATCGGTAGCTACCATAAGGTCCACCATTTTGAATGACTACCTTGAGCTGCTGAAATCCGTTCAGTAAGTCCCAATGCGTGTAAGGAGGAGGACGCTTTGTTTTTCAACAAAGCCAAATCCAATACGTAATATTAGAATATAATAAACTAATCCAACCAAAAAATGGGGGATTTTTAACCCCCTCACGGAAATTTAAGTTTCTTGATCATTGAAGATGCGTTTCCATAGAAAACCGCCCAATCCCCGACCAACCGCCCCTAAAGAATCTTTTAGACTAGTTAAATTTTGTGAGGTCTGTCATAACACTTTACAAAGAGGCGCCATCTATGGGATGGTAGCTCAACTGAACGAATTTTTTTTGGTGGCGGCTACTCCCCAATAGATGGCGCTGCATATCGGTAGCTACCATCAGGTCCATCGTTTTGAATGACTACCTTGGGCTGCCGATAATCCGTTCAGTAAACTCCAGTGCAAAGGAGAGAAACGTTTACTCATAAAAACGATAAGAGACCAACCATGGAAAGTCTACTCTACCCTAATGTGCAAATTTCTGTGATTGAAATTTCTGCATCAGGAATGCAGGGAAATAGTTCATAACTCATAACTGTTAGACCATAGAGTACTTTCTCCATACTTCCTTCATGTTTGTTATTCTGATATTTGCATCAGTGGTTCAAAGCTGGGTGATATCAGGATAACAGACATGGTAGGAGGTAAGAGGGGGATCCTCTACCTATGTGGTGTAGGGGAAAGAATAAAACTTATAACACGTGTAAAATTATAATTATCGTTTACAAATACACAAACATAAAAAGTATACATAAAATAACATTTCTAAGTAAAAATTAATATACGCTTTAGGAGTAGAAAAATACATTAATTTATCCATAAACTTGCACTAACTGCACGTTCTGTATAAACCTAGGGTATAAATAAAAACATCTTATAATGTACATACATGAACACTTTCACCAACATTTAAGCATACTTTTAACACGAGTCAAAAATGTGTTAAAACAAATTTCGCAAGCATTTGTGCACGTAAACTATTTGGAATTCAGCGTCTAAGTTTGGATGCTCCTTAAGCTCATCATGCAGATAGCTGAGACATATAGATTGCTTTCAAAGACTGGTTTTACACTTGTGACAAAGAAGTGCAACCATAATCTTAGAATATTAGTCAGTAGATTACTTCTGAAGAACCAAGGGAGAATTTTGAATTTCGATTTTTCCACAACATAAGAACATATGATCTTCAACGGCTTTGTTTATTTTTTCTGCACAAATTAATACTTCCAAATATCTAAACCAACTTTATACTTGCAAAATTTGTTGGGTAAAGAACATTTTTAACCCAGCAGAAATGCAGAAATACTTTGAAGACTTTGTAAACCTGCTTCCACAGGTTTCAAAAGATAAAAAAAATTATATAAAATTACGTTACATTTAATAGGTTAAAAAAATTACAATTCTCAACAAACAGGATATCGATAGATACTGAACTAAAACGAAATAAGAAATTCTGCCAAGTTAGAAATTTTACCATAAAGCTAAATTGCAACTATATTTCTGAAATATTTACTTCAGCTAATCAATGCGTGGTCCACGATTTTAGAAAAAAACAAGTTTTTCATTGATGGAATTATTGCCTAAAGTGGGAGACGTCCATGGGTGTCCTTAGCACGATTGGGAGTGCAATTTTTGGATTTTGGGCCGGAAATTTGCTACCTCCCGCACTTGAAAAGTTTTTGGTGAAGGTACACTTTCTCGAAAAGTGCTCGATGATACCTCCCTCCCTGCGACAAATTCCTGCGGGCACTCGTGGAGACGTCAATAGAGAAATACTAAAAAGATGGATCTACTTTAAGACACACATCAATAGGGAAGTAAGCTCAGTTCGAAATAACTTCATTATTCAATCTTTTCAAATATTTATAAAGGAAGCTGTAATATTTGACCGTTATATTGAATATTTATTTTTAATACTGGAAGAATACTTCTGGGTTCGGGGTTCTGAGGAAAAATGATAAGCAAAATCCTCATCATTTCAATTTTTCGGACCCAAGTATCAGATGGTTTCAGAGAAAGAAATGCAAATTAATGCAATAGTTGCTATGTTTCGCTCTTTTATAGCCTCGACAAAAAGTAAGCAGTTTACTTGAAAATTTATCTGCTCTTGAAATGACTTGAAGGTCATGTCCGCAATGTGCATCTCGGGAATTAAAAATGGATGTTTCCCGTTAGGATAACCATTTGACCTTCAAATGACCTTGATTGTCATGATTATATTCGAACATAAAGTTTCTTGCTCTTTTTATTGCAGGTGTCAAAAATAGGGGACAATTGTCTTGACCGTCGTCAAGGTCATGTTAATCTTTCCAAACCTTACCACTCTATTACACATTTCTCTTTATGAACTGTATCTTTCGAGATATTTTATATTTTTCCCACTGTCTGGACACCCTCAAATACCTATGGAGATCATGGTCAAGGTCATGGGCAAAGACATAATTTAACGTACTGGTGTCAAAAATACGGGTTTCATTTAAGAACACTGTCTTGTCCTTCAAATCACACTGCAGGTGGTAGCCAAGGTCACGGTCCATCTAAGATCTATCCATATTTTTTGAACACCCTGTATATTTTTGCGGATAAATCCATGCCTATAACACATTTTTGTTTGTTTGACTTTATTTGAGTGCATCAACAAAACGTAGTCAAATCATGTCTTAGTTTTTCTTAAGTGCATGACATATATGACTCTTGGCTAATTGAGAGATAAGCGCTTTGTTTTTTTTTCAGCTCACTGCTCGAATCCATAATTAATCTTCCATCATAATTCATTTTAAAAATGAATACATAATTGTAACAAAAATAAGGTACCCTTAAGGTAATATTAAGCTAAGTATTTTCCAATGGGTAACATAAGTTTCTGTGATATGACGTAGAAATGGTTGAGTGACAAAACATGAAATTTTAGTACCGGTTAATTTTAAAGAAAATTCATATAGTGATACTTTTTGTTGAGTCAATGGGTGCAACGTCCAGAAATACTTTCTATTGGAGATACAGGGTGTTAAAGTTTGATGCCTTAGGCTCTGTGGGTTCGCCTTCCTGCACCATTTTACGAAAACTAACTCGTTAATGTACTCAGAACTTGACGATATAATGAAAATCACGTGAAAACTTACAATATATACAGGGCGGCCCAACGAAAATATTCGATGGAAAAGCTAAATAAGATATTCGAAAACGATTTGAGCAACAGGATTGATATCTTATAGGTGTGTATCTTTCAATGAGTTGAAAATATATAGGACGGAACATCCCGTATATTGTCACACCATCAATCGTGTTTTTGTGAGTTTCATCGGATATCAGGTAAGAAAATATGTCACACTAAAAAAAAACGTTTGTTTGGTACGGATATGCTCAACACTCCAAACAATTTAGAAATATAATCTCATAATAGTTTTTCTATTAAACAGCTTTCCATTTTCGTTAGGACACCCTGCATATAACGCATGATTTGAGCCCATCGGATATGAATGAGCTATTACTATACGAATTTTCATTAAAATTGACCGGTGGTGAGCTTCCATATGTTTTGTGCCTAATAGTCTAATCATATTAGCAAATTTCCCCGAAATAATTGTAAAGTCTGGTTTTATTGGTGCAAGTTGTTACAAGGGGGTATTTAAAACATGGATGCATAAAATGGGTACACCAATTTTTGTGGGGAAACTTTATTTGACAACAAAGAATGAGAAAACATGTTTTTTGGGATTCAATCGAAAGTGTTGACAGGAACGCAAAAACTCTTTAAATAAGATTTTTAGGTATGTATGAGACCACACGTAAAAAGATCCGACTAATAGCAAAAATGAACCCCATTGAACAGTTTAAAACAATAAAACCAGACTTTACAATTATTTCATAACATTCATTTTTAGGCACATAGAATTGTGCCCGGTTTCAAGTGAGTAACTCTAGCTTGGAAGTTAAATCAGTTGCCTGTAACTGTAACTCTTAATGTGACAACGTTGCATCAACGGTTTTAGCAGTCAATTACCATCGTTGTCAAGCAAAATAGCTTCAACTTTCTAGATAACCGCTAGATAGTTAAAGCAAGCATTAAACTTAACTGCCTTTTACTAATCTCATACTGAACAATGCTTTTTGAGAGTTCTCAGTAAAGTGGCAATCAATGTTAAAAACTGAACCCTAACATGTTATACTTCAAAAGTATACACACTATAATGTGCAAAATGATTTTTCAAGTTAGATATTGGCAAACGGGTAAAACATTCGAAAATTCCACATCAGAATGTAAATAAATAATGTGAGTCTTACTACTAATATCAATACACGTTGCATCAAATATCAAGGTCACGCGTGTTGAAGAATGTGAATATCATAAAAACTGCTGATTTGAACACTAGTGAACATTTAGACTTTTAAAAAGTGATAATGTGCTACGACCTCATTTTGACTGAGGCACTTTTTGTATGTCATATCACAGAAACCGAATAAGAAGAGATATCCCATTATAAAGATAGCGTCTATATCATGGATAAATTATTTAACAGAGGCGGGTTTGGGAGCTGTTTGTGCACCAGGTACTCTTCCCAGGACCTTCGAGAGGTCCACTCCAGTTAAGGCATTCACGGCGGGAGGTATTTGTCCGACCAATCGGGTGACGTCCGACGTCAGGCCGTCGGAACCGCCTATCAGGACGATCTCTTCCGTTTTCGCCAACGGGGCGGACACCTCCGCGGCAATCTGAAAATTGAACAGTTATTGTTAATAACGGGTGATTTTTTAAGAGGTATAGGATTTGATTTAAAAAAAAAACAAAAAATCTGAAAAAACGATTAAATCTTTATTTGAGTCGATAGAACGGTCGATATAATTTAATGTTTAAAGATTATTTCATGTAAATGTTGGCCGGGGCTCCGCTTTAGATGGCCCATGCGCAAGGTCCAATTTTGGCACACTATCTCCAACATATCGGCCGGTATCTCACGAATAAATGCTTCAATATTGGCTTCCAGTGCGTCAATCGTTGCTGGTTTATCCCTGTAGACATTAGCCTTAACATGGCCCCACAAGAAATAGTCCAACGGCGTTAAATCACACGATCTAGGCGGCCATTTGACGAGCCCCAAACGTGAGATAAACTGTTCACCGAACTCGCCTCTCAATAGGGCCATTGTTTCGTGTGCGGTGTGGCATGTGGCACCGTCTTGTTGAAACCACATGTCAGCCAAGTCTAGCTCTTCCATTTTGGGCAAAAAAAAGTTTGTTATCATCGCACGGTAGCGCTCGCCATTCACAGTTACGTTCCGGCCATTGTCGTCTTTGAAGAAGTACGGCCCGATGATGCCACCGGCCCATAATCCACACCAAACAGTGATTTTTTCGGGATGCATTGGTAGCTCTTGCAATGCTTCTGGCTGGTCTTCAGTCCAGATGCGGCAATTTTGCTTGTTAACGTACCCATTCAACCAGAAATGAGCTTCGTCGCTGAACACAATTTTTCGATAAAAATGTGGATCTTCCTCCAACTTTCCCAGCGCCCATTCACCAAATTGGAAACGATGTGCGAGGTCGTGTGACTTCAATTCTTGCATCAGCTGTATCTTATAAGATTTTACACCCAAAATTTTCCACGTAGTGGAGTAACAGAGGCCCAAATGCTGCGAACGGCGGCGAATCGACATTTCACGGTCATCACTAACACTGGCGGATACAGCCGCAATATTTTCTTCAGTCCTCACTCTACGTCTGCGTGTTGGTGGTTTAATGTCCAATAATGTTAACTGGGTTCGAAGTTTAGTCACAGGCTTCCGAATAGCTCCCTCAATAGGCCGACCAAATTGCCCATAAGTTGGAAGCAGTGCTCGATGCACTCTCTTAACCGAGCATGAATTTTGATAGTAAAATTCAATAATTTGCAAGCGTTGTTCGTTCGTAAGTCGATTCATGGTTAAATTATAGACCAAACTGAACAAGTTTGACAATGACACAAGACACGATTAACGGGTCATCTGTCAAAAACAGTGTTGCCAAAAAGATACCAGCAAAAAAATCACCCATTATACACAACATTGGTACAATAATCAAAAAATTTAAAAATTCATTCACTGTCCAACTTCTACGATTTTTTGAAGATGTAATATGTTAAGGTTGTTGTTTTTGAAGATTTATTTAGCATTAATGCTACAATGTCAAATTTGTATAATGATTCGGGTACATATTTTTCTTCAATCCATTTTCTGTAATTTTACATTCTTGTTTATTTAAATTGAAATTGAAATTACGTCACTATGTATTTAGATTATTCATAGTGATTTTTTGATTTCACCTTAAACATTTTTAAATTCGAACTTTGGTTAATATCGATATTCAAATTATTAAATTCAAATACTCCCTTTTGAAATATAGATTTACTAGTTATTTTGCAGATGATAATCTATACTGCCTCTAGTTTCGTAGTTATGATAATGACTATTTAATTTTGTGAAGTTCTCTAAGTGTGGTGGTAATAAATGATTTTTTAGTTTGAATATGAAAACTAGAACTAAATAATATATGAAATTTTTCACATCCAACCACTGCAGTTCTTCTAACATAGACTTAATCCTAGCAGATTTGTTTTTATTTAAGGTAAGGTAGTATTTATATTCATAAATAAGAGGTCTGTAAATGAAGTGATGAGACTAATTTTTTTAATTTTTTCATTCCGAATTTACTAATTTTGGATGGACCGAAGGTTGAACGCTCCCGCAGGTGCGGGATTCAAAGCCGATGTGCGCAAAAATCTGCCATTTTGATTCTACAAAATCCATCAAGCCATTTGGACTGCAGCCAGTAAAATACAATTTCTCGTATACATACATACAGTAGCGGACAACAGTTTGGAAACACTTTTAGGAATTTTTAAAAAGTGCGCTAATTTTTTATTCCTTATTATTAAGGACTATTTTTTATAGTTTGTTTACAGTCTTGAGGATACAAATGACAATGTGGTACTACAGACTAGCATTAAAATACCCTCATATTATTTGATGACCAAAAATGAGACGACAAAAGTATGGAAACGTATTTTTTATTACAAAATTAAATACGATAACTCTACAAAAAGATTTAAAAGATACATAGCATAGCCTTTAGCATTCAACACAGCCTGACATCCGCTGCTCATAGAAGACACCAATTTTTTACAGACGTCTGTAGGAATATTTTGCCAAATATTTTTTACATAATCAAATGAATCGTTCCTATTTTTAAAAGTTTTTCTTGTCAGTTGTCTTTTAAAATGTTCCTAGAGATGTTCTACAGGGTTTAGGTCCAGAGATTGCGAAGGTCATGTAAGAACATTAACATTTTTAAGTCTTAACCAGTCCTTTATGAATTTTAGGGTATGCTTGGGGTCATTATCTCGCTGGAATGTCCATCGTAAAGACATTTTTTCTTCAGCAAAAGGGAGAATGTGTTCACTTAGAATATCTTTGTACATTTTTTGATCGATTTTCCCAACAATTTTAACAATTGGACCCGTTCTAGAACTAGAAAAACAGCCCCAAACCATAATGTCGACTATTTAACTGTTGACAACTGATACTTTTTGTCTAATCTTTTCCGTATTGGACATCTCTACTAAATAATTCAATTACTTTGTCTCTCAAATATTTTGAAAATTCTTTTACTTTTGCCATACTCACTGATGTTAATATTTACCTCACGCAATATCAGAGTATCGCAGAACGAATAAATACGGCGAAACTGAAATGTTTCCATACTTATGTCGTTTGTGTTTTTATTTTCAGAGAATTTGAATATTGATAAGATAAACCTGTATTAGTACGTGAGCCAAATGTTGACTTTAATATTCATTTTATCTGTTCCTTCACAATTTTAATTTAGGTATACAGTTCATAATAATGTTATTATTTGTTTCCAAACTTTTGTACGCTACTGTAGATACCCACCCGAGTAGAACATACAGACTTTTTAACGTGAGGTACTTATCGTAGCACGATGACATTTTGAGGGCTGTTTCTATATGAGTTGAAGTCACTTTTACAGTAAAATTATAACAATTATACAAAATTGACATTGTAGCATTAATGCTAAATAAATCTTCAACAACAACAACGTTAACATATTGCACCTTCAAAAAATCGTAGAAGTTGGACAGTGAATGAATTTTTAAATTTTTTGATTAGTGTACCAATGTTGTGTATAATGGGTGATTTTTTTGCTAGTATCTTTTTGGCAACACTGTTTTTGACAGATGACGCGTGAATCGTGTCTTGTGTCATTGTCAAACTTGTTCAGTTTGGTCTATAATTTAAGCATGAATCGACTTACGAACGAACAACGCTTGCAAATTATTGAATTTTACTATCAAAATTCATGCTCGGTTAAGAGAGTGCATCTGCTTTTGTACGCTACTGTAGATACCTACCCGAGTAGAACATACAGACTTTTTAACGTGAGGTACTTATCGTAGCACGATGACATTTTGAGGGCTGTTTCTATATAAGTTGAAGTCACTTTTACAGTAAAATGCCTCCCCTAAAATTGAGGGATGAACACGCCTACATTTGATTGAGGCCAACGCTGTTCCACTTTTTGTCCATCTCGTGCCTAACGATCGATTTAATCCCCCCCACTATGCACTCCGCTCCCGGCGAAATAATATAATCGAGAAGGATAGTCTTACCTTCGGTAAGGCCTCAAGAACAAGGGACATAATGGCAGCATCTCCATACTGTTTATAAACGGCAGCTTTTTGCTTCATCCGTTCTGCTTCAGCTTTACCGATGCCGGAAATCGCTGAAGCCTCTGCGGTACCCAACAGTTTGGTTTTTTCACCTTCTGCTTGGGCAGATTTCACCGTTTGAGTTCTGAAACGATATGGAATAAGTTATAGCTGAAACCACAGCAATGCGTTAAGACAGCAACATGAAAAAAAGGGTGTAGCTCTCTCGTGGGTGCCCATTGGGGAGGGGGGGAGGGGTCCCCCTCCTGACGTTTGCTTCGAACTGAAATATTCTTAAAAGATACCCAATCCTTGGGTAAGGAGTGGCGTGTTAGTTTTTTTGCTATTCAGAACATCCCAACATATCTATATATACATTTATAGCGTGAGAAGTAGTCATTGCCAAAGCCAACGACCAGCACAAAATACAATTAATTGTTAATTGGGAAATTGTCAAATTTTTAGGCTTAAGTTGACTCTTTTGACTCTTGATTTTATCCTCAAAAGAGTCGACTTAAGCCTAAAAATTTGCCAATTTCCCAATTAACAATTTATTGCATATATATATATATATATATATATACAGGGTGTCCCAGAAGTCGACGTCAAGTCGAAACCGGGTGATAGGAAAAGTCATAACAGCTATCAGAAAAATATTTAAAAAAATTTATGTATGTGTTTTGAAAATTATAGGTCTTTGAAAAAATATAGAAATTTCACACCCTACGGCAGTCTGTCAACTCCTGTTACTACAAATATTAACTTTTTTTGGATTTTATTTTTACAATGTAATGATGAATAATGCATCTTCAAACTGGTGTCTCAACCTTACTGCCAACTTTTCTCGTTCAGGAAAAATTGCCACTTATTTCCCAACCAAGTATTCCAAAGTAAAACTTTGCTCAACTTTAACTGGCTGTACTGGAAAAAAATGTACTATGATTGTTTGGCAAGTAACCTTAAAAGTTGGCGCATTTAATAAGGATTCCAAAATGGTATAACACTTAGAAGATTACGCGTTAACTTATGCACAATTTTTATTTGAAGAAAAATTGATGAAAATTTTTCAAAATTTCGTAATTAAACAGCGATTATGAAAACGCGCAAGGACCCTTAAGGATAACTGTTTGCACAACAGTGGGCGTCAAAATGCTGCTGATGATGATTTACCTTTACAGCAAATGCTCAAACTGTTTTCCTTCAGCCGCAATACACGTTCGACATCTTCTTAAAAAAGATCGGGTTATTAAACGAGCGAATCCACGGTTATTAACAAACTCAGCTGCTTCCAATAGTCTTTGCCGTAGCTCAGCTACATTTTGAAATATACTTTTTCTTTTACAGTTCCCCAGTAAAAAAATCTAAAGGATTCAAATCAGGTGATCGGGCGGGCCACGGAATTGTACCACACCGCCTTATCCATGTGTCTGGAAAGTTTTGATCGAGATACCCTCTCACTGAGAGTGCATAGTGCGCTGGGCAGCCATTATGCTGAAACCACATGTCCCTGTAAATACTCAGTGGCACGTCCACCAATAAATTTTGTACATGATTTTTCAAAAAATCCAAATAAACTTCAGCAGTCAAAGTCTCTGGGAACTCAAACGGACCGATTATTTTACCATTTAAAATTCCTGTCCAATGGTTTATCTTGAAGCGATATTGAGATTTATCTTCTCTCATCAAATGTGGGTTTGCTACGTACCACTCGAGTAAGTTATGCAGGTTCATGTACCCATCTTTCTTAAATGTGGTCTCATCCGACCATAAAATTTTTTCAAAGAACTGTGGATCTTTCCTGTGTCTTTCTAACATTGTGCGACAAAAAGCAACTCGGGGCTCATAATCCCGGGGCAGGAGAGGTTGAACATGCTGTATGTGGTATGGATGAAGCACATCACTTACTTGCTATTGCACACTTTGATACCGATCAGTACTCCTTCGTTTACTGCGCATCTTTACATGTTCGTGCTTGTTGATTTCGTACTGTTACTAATTTTGGATTCGTGAACTGGACTGTTGATCGCTTGTGATTTGGATTTGGACTGTTTAATTGCTCTTCAAAACAACATTTGCTTTCCTTAGACTATCTTTGATAGTGTGATTGTGCAGTGCCGCTATGTCCGTGTACACCGTACAAGAATATGCTAACATACACCTCATTTATGGGGAATGCAGATGCAACGCTAGTGCTGCAGCGAGACTTTACTGTGAGAGGTACCCGAATGCAGCTCGTCATCCAGATCATCGAGTGTTCACAAATGTGCACCGCTTACTGTTCTCAGAGGGCCAACTACCAAACCAATCACACGGTGAGGGAAGATCTTTCCTTCCTTACGTGGTGCAAGGAGCTGTCGAAGAAGACCCGAGTACTTCAGTGCGTGCAATAGAACTAAAAACAGGTGTGCCCAAAAGTACATCCCATAGAATCTTGCAAAAAAACGTGCTCCATCCATACCACGTACAGCGTGTTCAAGCTCTTCTGCCCCGGGATTATGAGCCCCGAGTTGCTTTTTGTCGCACAATGTTAGAAAGACACAGGGAAGATCCACGGTTCTTTGAAAAAATTTTATGGTCAGTTGAGACCACATTTAAGAAAGATGGGTACATGAACCTGCACAACTTACACGAGTGGCACGTAGCAAACCCACATTTGATGAGAGAAGATAAATCTCAATATCGCTTCAAGATAAACCATTGGACAGGAATTTTAAATGGTAATATAATCGGTCTGTTTGAGTTCCCAGAGACTTTGACTGCTGAAGTTTATTTGGATTTTTTGAAAAATCATGTACAAAATTTATTGGTGGACGTGCCACTGAGTATTTACAGGGACATGTGGTTTCAGCATAATGGCCGCCCAGCGCACTATGCACTCTCAGTGAGAGAGTATCTCGATCAAAACTTTCCAGGCAGATGGATAGGGCGGTCTGGTACAATACCGTGGCCAGCCCGGTCACCAGATTTGAATCCGTTAGATTTTTTTTACTGGGGAACTGTAAAAGAAAAAGTGTATTTCAAGCCGATTCAAAATGTAGCTGAGCTACGGAAAAGACTATTGGAAGCAGCTGAGTTTGTTAATAACCGTGGATTCGCTCGTTTAATAACCCGATCTTTTTTAAGAAGATGTCGAGCGTGTATTGCGGCTGAAGGAAAACAGTTTGAGCATTTGCTGTAAAGGTAAATCATCATCAGCAGCATTTTGACGCCCACTGTTGTGCAAACAGTTATCCTTAAGGGTCCTTGTGCGTTTTCATAATCGCTGTTTAATTAGGAAATTTTAAAAAATTTTCATCAGTTTTTCTTCAAATAAAAATTGTGCATAAGTTAACGAGTAATCTTTTAAGTGTTATACCATTTTGGAATCCTTATTAAATGCGCCAACTTTTAAGGTTACTTGCCAAACTCTCGTAGTACATTTTTTCCAGTACAGCCAGTTAAAGTTGAGCAAAGTTTTACTTTGGAATACTTGGTTGGGAAATAAGTGGCAATTTTTCCTGAACGAGAAAAGTTGGCAGTAAGGTTGAGACACCAGTTTGGAGATGCATTATTCATCATTACATTGTAAAAATAAAATCCAAAAAAGTTAATATTTGTAGTAACAGGAGGTGACAGACTGCCGTAGGGTGTGAAATTTCTATATTTTTTTCAAAGACCTATAATTTTCAAAACACATACATAAAATTTTTTTAAATATTTTTCTGATAGCTATTATGACTTTGCCTATCACCCGGTTTCGGCTTGACGTCGATATATTCATAGTTAATTGCCTTAACTGTTAGGAGAACATATCCTTGAATTTCTTTGGGTAGAAGGCAATGTATTGCAAAAGTACACTCTTATAACTTGAACCCAAGCTTTCGAAGATCTATGTCTTCATCGTCTGGAGCTGGAAACAATTATTGACAATTGCAGCAATTAACAATTAGGAGGAAAATACTTACTAAATCGGCGAGATTGTTGCTGAAATTGTTTTTAAACAACAGTGAAGGGAACACATAGTCGACGAATAAAAAACTGGACCGATGAGGTTCGATTAGGACGGAATTATTATGTTATTAAATGGCAAATCGAAGCTAAATATTTAATTGATTCAACATTTTCAATTATTCCTCCATTTATCCTAACTGTGATAGTATCTTCATTTAGATATTTCCCTATTATTTTGTTTTAGAAGTATTCAATTTTAGTTGATTTACATTTAACCAATTTACGATTTTTACCAAGTCAGAATTTAGCATTTTTAAGCAGTGTGATATGTACATCTATATTAATGTATCATCTGCAAATACCTGAAGTTTACAATAATCTAAAATATTACAAATGTCATTAATGCATAAATAAATAGTAGTGGACCTAGTTAACTACCTTGTGGTATATATTTCACTAACAAAACATAAGCAACTATTAAATGTTTTACCTTCTTCCCTCAGCGAGAACTTCAACTTTGTAACTTTCAGCTTCAGCGGGCAACCTAACCATAGCGTTCAACTCTCGCTCTTTTCTCATAACTTCTTGTGCTTCGATTTCTATCTGCTTCTTCCTCTCGACTACTTCTATCTGTATCTCTTCGTTTCGTATCTTTTGCCGGATTTTTGCTGCTTGCAATTCATAAGCTAGCTGCGCTTGTGCTTTCTGTAACAAAATAAAAAAATAATACCCTATGAAGTTGGAAGTGTGAAAAATTATACGATAAAAAAGTCTATAATATCATTACTTACGGCAGTGTTAATTTCCTGATCAAAGTTAGCCTTCTGTAATTTGAACATCCTCGAGTTATCTTCGATTTTCGTATCTGTGGCGTATTTCACATCCATCGCAGACTTTTGACATTCGGCTTCCTATAAAAATGGAGTGTCAGTCTCAGAGTATGTGAACACGAATATCATTAATCCTCCATGCTGATCTGTTTTATTGGCCACACAAGCATGGGGGATTATCGATGTGTAAATAAGGGGTACGTTTCAGATGTTACATTGAGAATAATTTTCTCGGACAATAGAACGGTTTTTATTTTTTCACTCAAAAATGGCTCATCGAAGGAAAACAATTCAAGAGAGATCATTTGTTTTAAATTGAACGGGGAATTCAAAAATAAATTTTATTTGGCAAAAAACCATTGGCGTACCATTTTTTTCTTAAAAAATATCGAAATCAATACCCGTACGCACGCCACTGTTAAAGCTAAAACTTATTTTTGCATTGAAAAATATTCAACTTTATTAACTTTCACTACGTACTGAATATCAGTCTGAAGCGGTTCTGAAAATATTAATTAATTTCCATTTTTTTCCTAAAACTTCAACAGCCCGAGTTTTTGTAAGGAAACATTTTTGGACCATAGTTTATAAAGCAAACTAACATTAATTTTTCATGTAGATTCACACCCTTAAATATTCGCATATCATTAAGGAACAAGGCCAAAGCTAATAAAAGCGTGTTAAAGAAACGTTACCCTGATCCCAGCGTCTCTATTGGCCTCCGCCACGCCCGCATCGGCATCTCTCTTCACCATAGCCGTCTGAGCTTTTCCGAGAGATGTTAAATACTGCACGTCATCAAATACGTCCTTGATCGTGAAAGAGAGAATCTCGATGCCCATTCTACCGACGTCCGGGGCTGCCACTTCGCGAACCAAAGCTGCAAATTGGTCGCGGTCGCGATACACTTCCTCCACGGTCAAAGTGCCTGCAAAGGAAATAATCACTCCAGTTGAAAAAATGGTATCAAGTATACTGACTCTATACCTCCCATCCGTCGTTCAAAATCGCAAATTTCAAAGTGAAACTCGACTACGTATACTGCGTGTGAAATTGCAAGAAATTTGGAATATATTTACACAGGCAAACTGCCAAGCATTAGTTAATGAGTTAAACACAGAATTTTGTGAAATGACAATTTTTGGGCGCATCTTATGTATTTTGAGATACTTAAATCAAATCTAAAAACAGAATTTTTCTATCACCCACAGATACTTTTATGAATTACAATACGTAACATCTCATATTGCTGCATTTCTCGCCGTTTATGCGATGACGCACATATATAATATTAAGACCTGTCTATTCCTGTTTATTATATGCGAGCTCTATGTTTAGAGAGCGTTTATGAGTAGACTAATATCAGTCGAGTCAGTTACATTTTCTGTGTTGAAGAGTACTGAGATGTTCTGAGTACTGTTAATTTTTTTTTAAAAGGGTGTATTGTTTTTAGTTTATTGTGGTTGAGACTAGCTTTATGGACAATGCCTAGAAATTTTGTAAATAGTGCGCACAGTTTTTGTTATGTGTGCGGAGAGCTAACTTTTAAATCCCAAAAATGCACTTTTAATCCCCTTGTGTTGAAAGCATACGAACTTTCTTTTGGAATTAAAGTTGGCGACCAAGATCAACTATGAGCCCCTCATATGTTGTAAGACTTGTGTAACGTTATTAACAGGTTGGTTAAGAGGCGACAATCGTAAAATGTCCTTTGCAGTACCAATGGTTTGGAGAGAACAGTACAGTGTGAGAAATATTGTTAGAAGATATAACGTAATTTTTTCAGTTAATATTAAGCCACGATATGTGAAAAAAAGTAATATCACAAATGCCGACCGAAGAGCATTAAGAAGAATAATCGTGAAAAACAGGCGTGCCAATTATTTACTATTAAGTGCTCTGTGGAGTGACACTGTTGGAAAGAGAAATTCGAGGTCCACAACTCATAGAGAGGCCCACAAATTGGGATTTAGCACTTGCAAGGTAAGTTTTCTTATAAAAAAAAGTGAAGTAAAAACCCTAAAGTTGCACAAGTTGTTTATAGGCCAAAGAAAAGCCACTATTAACTCCACTGCAAAAGAAAAATCGACTTATATGGGCTAAAGAACATAGACAATGGACACCTCAACAATGGTGTGCAATACAACGGAGTGATGAGGCCCGATTCGAAGTTTGTATTGGTGACAGTCGCAGTAGTTATTCGCAACAAAATGAAGCATTCCATGTTCACTGTCTGAAGAGAAAAGTGAAATTTCCAGCATCCATTATGGTCTGTGGCAGTATGTCATCAAAAGGAGTAGGAAAACTTCATTTTATTGATGGAAATGTGGATACAAACAAATATTTGGCAATTTTAGAAGAATCGCTTTTACCAGTGATGGAAGAATGTTTGACATCCGGCCAAGATTTTGTGCTTCAGCAAGATGGTACAGCGTGCCATACCTCAAAAAAGGCTATAAAATGGATGGAAGAAAATAATGTACCACTTTTGAAATGGGTTTCTAGCAGTCCAGATCTGTCACCTATTGAAACTTTGTGGCACGAGATGAAAAAGGTTCTACGACAACATCCTGCTCGTACAATCACCGAACTGAGACAAAAGCATTAAGAAATATGCGATTGTTTTCCACCAAATTTTTGCCAAAACTTGGTTAACACTATGCCCCAAAGAATTTCAGCCGTAATAAAAAATAAAGGTGATGTTACCCAATGGTAATCTTTCAATTGTTGCTTTGTTAACTTCGCGCATTTATTCGCACATTGTTTACTTGTTCAGATGTTCTATTAGTTATAGGTCTAAGTGATTTGAAATATGTATTTTTTACGACTAGAGTGTCTCTAAAATGTTTTTGAGAAAATAAATTGTTTTAGAAGTAAATAGTTTCGTCATGTTGAGTATATAAAGGCTTATTTTGGTACAAATCTTGAAGTGGGCCAACTGAAGTGGGAAGGGGCTCGTATAAGCAAGACAACTACTGATGCTGGAAATGATACAAATCTCTGGTCACAATATTTGTATGCAAATTAAATTAGAATATCATTAATTCTTTACCTAATATTGCCCTGAGATGTCCTTCCAAAGTCTGCAATACCGTAGCCTTGATCTCCTTGACGCTCTTCCCCAAAAATTGCTCACTGGCCGTGTGCAACAACTCGTGAGCTTTCATGATCTTGCACTGCGCCACTCCATTCACGGTCAACGGCACTCCCTGGGCCGTTTCGACGCTGTCACATTGCGGCGTTAGTGTCATCACCTCCAAGGAGAGCCTCTGGACATCGGTGACCAACCACCAGGCCCACGCCCAACCGCCGACGATTGTTACGCGTTTCGTTGAACCACAGCATCCGCCTGGAATAAAAAGTACATTAAAAAAATGCGTGAAATGGGTTGACTCTTCACTTCGCCAGTTCATAAACGATCAAGTTCAGCGCAATTTAAATCCTCCGAGAAAAAAGTCAGTTACGGACATGTACAACAGAGAAATTAAACGTCAAACAGGCTAGTACAATAATTTCTATCTTCAATAATACAATAAGATCATAAAAATACCTTTTAATTTAAAATTAACAACAAATCAAATGGTAATTATACAGGGTTACTTCGAAGTTGAGTCATTTATTTTAACAGTGAGTAGATCTGATCAAAAGAAACGTTTTTTTCCTTTACCATTTTTCTGGTAAAATTAAAGTAACAAAGTTATAGCACTTTGGAAGTTTGAGTACCGCCCTGTTTCAATAATAATATTATGACTCGTGTTTGGCAACAACGGATATAATCCACCTTATCGGTTCATCGCATCGGAAACGAAAAAGCGAAAGAATTTGGAACGATGTTTTTACAATTATTTTATTCAGTTGTATACAATACAGTCAGTGTCAGTCGGTAACGCGTGAGTGTCCAATAATGTAAACTGGGTTCGAAATTTAGTCACAAGCTTCCCAATAGCTCCCTCAGTAGGCCGACCAAATTGCCCATAAATTGGAAGCAGCGCTCGATGCACTCTCTTAACCGAGCATGAATTTTGATAGAAAAATTGAGTAATTTGCAAGCGTTGTTCGTTCGTAAGTCGATTCATGGTTAAATTATAGACCAAACTGAACAAGTTTGACAATGACACAAGACACGATACACACGCCATCTGTCAAAAACAATGTTGCCAAAAAGATAATAGCAAAAAAATCACCTATTACAAACAAATGGTTGGTTATGTGATTACTGATAGATGCATATTACACATTACTTAACGATATAGTGTATAATGCTTAACCTAGTGATATTCAGAATAATGAATACATTTTTAACATTACAGTGGAATCCACTTATAATGAACTTGCTGATAATGGAAACCCGTATATAATGGACATAATTTAAGGTCCTATAAATAATTGCATGTAAAATCCTCGGATATTACAGATTCGCTTAAAATAGACTAGCGGACTATTTTAATCCATTAAATGGGAGCTATTTTGGTAGTACCCCGAAGCAGCTTTAGCTGATTCAATTCACTGTTATGATTTGTGCTAATGCTTCTGGTACTGAAAAACGGAAGGTATTGATAAATAGGTAAGTGAATGAATAGAAATTCATGTTCTATTTTTTTTGATATTCAATGGCAGTGCTTCAAGGAATTTATGACCTTTTTTTATTTCCGGGGAATTTAAGACTCCCAGGTGGGGGTGGAAATAATAAAGCTTGGATGACAACATCAATTTTTGAAGAATATTTAAAAGAGTGGAACGCTGAACTTGTTAAGAAAAATCGTAAGATTTTGCTCTTGGTCATCAGTCTTCAATTTTTTCCACCCAATGTGGCATTAGTTCTGCAACCGATGAACCAGGGTGGCATTTGGAGTCTTAAACAAATGTATCGGAAACATATGTTGATGAAAATTATGGAGCTTCAAGAAGATATCAACATTACCAAAGCTGTCACCATTTTAGATGGTGGTTTAGTGAAAAACATAACTGAAATAGTCAACGATTTTAATCCAGAAGATGAAATTCCATTAAGGGGTCGTTCAAGTATTACGTAAGCAGATTTATTACAATTATTTACCCCCCCATCCCCCATGTCAGCAAAAGTAAACAAAGCTCTTACTCCCTCCCCCCATGCTTACGTAAACATTTGTCAATTAATGTATTGTTTGATTTTAATATTATAATTATAACGTTATAATAATAATTTAAAAAATAAGAAAATAGATTTAGGATAGAGAGCATATTTTACGCCACGTTCATCCAAATGAGACCCAAAATGGTCATGAGGCAATGTTAAACCAGCCAGTTCCGGACTAAGAGGAGCCATTCTGCGCTCTACTCTGTTATACGCACTTCTTCCAGGAGCATTGGTAGCTAAAAACAATGCATCGAGATCATTTGATTCTATATTCCATGTGCATAAGAAGAGGTGCTCGCTTATTTGCCGCAGTTATACTTTATCTGAAGTCACTTGAAACACTGTGAAATACCGGGTGCGTTTTATATATCTATATTTAACACGCTCTGTTGCTGCAAAAATCGCCATTTTCGCAGCAAATATCCCCCGTATAAGATCAAAGGCAGTTTCACCGGTCCACGTGGAGTAAAGCACGCCTATGCGTGGACATAGCCAATGAGAAAGCGTGTAGTTTAGAGCTCCGAACAAGTGCAGGTGGCTACTGAAAATTGAAACAGTTTAGCCAGTGCCGTGTAGCGGTGAATAAACGTGTTTTCTTTAGTCTGTCCGTGTTTTTTCATAGATTTTATTAGTTTGTGTGTTTTTGACTTTTGAATACTCAGTTTACTTGTTGATTTAATTGTTGTGTTGATTGTTCTTGTGTGTCCTAAATATGGCTCTTTGGAGACCTTGGGAAAATGCTCCAAGCCACGAGGAGATGGTTGATGAACCTGTGTAGGCAGAATTCTTTCATAAAGATTTAGAGGAACAGACCCAAAGAGTAATCCTAAATATATATGATTGTCTGAAAAACGAAAATCCAGATTCCTCGCAAGATCAAATTTTAAACAGAATTTGTATCCTGACAAAAATCAGTCGGTCTACCATTTATCGGGTTATAAAAAGGGGAGATGTAGTATGTATGGAAATGATACGGGATAAATTAAAAGATTATCCTGAGTCGTCTTGAATCGTTGAATTGCGCCAAGAATTTTTGCACAAAGTTAAAATCTATAGAGAGCAGAAAAGAAATCTGATTTACCTGGATGAAACGTGGTATGATACCCATGATGTTGTGCAGTACGGCTGGGTTGACGACAGCAACAAGTGCATTTTAAATGCACCATGCAACCGTGGAAAACGAATCATTATTCTCCATGCTGGCAGTGAAAATGGATTTATACCTAATGCCTTGCTGTTATCTGCCAAAAATATCAAAGAATCATGTGCCGACTATCATGAGGACATGACCTCCGACTTATTTGAAAAGTGGGTAGAGCAGCAGTTAATACCAAACATTTCCCCAAATTCAGTGATTATTATGGACAATGCGCCATACCATTCCCGACAGAAAATCAAAATTCCGAATACAGGCACAAAAAAACAAGACATTATTGATTTTATGAAGGATAAGGGAATGGAAATACCACAAAAATCAACCAAAGCCATATTATTGGATCTTATTAAAAGACAAAAATTTGAAAAAGAGTATGTTGTTGACAATCTGCTTCAGCAAAATGGCCATGAAGTATTACGTCTACCTCCCTATTACTGCATTTTTAACCCGATTGAGTTGATCTGGGCTGCTTTAAAAAAAAAGTAAGAAAACATAATCAGACCCCTCAATTAAGTGAATCGCTATTGGCCACAATAAGAGATGCAGTATCTCATATTGCTGCCACAGACCTATGGAAGCAGTGTTCTAGGCATATTATTGAAAAAGAAAATGAATATTGTGTTTTGCCTCCTGTAAATCCCGTTGTAATTCCTCTACAAGATGACTCTAGCGACAGCTCCGAAGGCGAGGATGATATATAAATACCTATAATGTAAGTCTTTATATACCTTTTTATATACCTACCTGCTATGTAAATATTTGCCTATGTCAAACGTTGGAATTCTGTAATTTTTCCATTTCTTAACTTTCAGTCAACATAAATTAAACTCCCAATATAAGTATTTTTTATCCCAAATCAAAAAAATCCATTTATTGTGATATAAAAACATTATTATTATCGTTCTAAATAAATGACCGCACGCCTATGATACGTCATGAAATTACAAAGGACGCGCCGACCAAAGGTTTTTATGCTATTTCAAGTGACTTCAGATAAAGTATACGCCAATAGGGACTCGAGTTTTATCATCTTGAGATATGAAAAATACTTGATCTGGTCCAAGTATGGATGCTATGTTCTCTAAATAATGGATTGATGTTTCAGCGAACTTGCTATCTAAGTGGCTCTTGTGGTGATCAGTTTGAGCCCGAATGAGCTTAACAGGGACTGTCGATACATGTCTTCGTCCCTCTGCAGAATTAGATTTTCTGGGAATCAAACGAAGATATGTCCCACTGCGACTAATGTCAAATCCTATTTTACGTAATTCTTGTGTGAGTTCATCAAGAGTTTTTACGCTGCGAATTGATTCCGATCGTCTTCTATCATCTGCTGCACTCCCAAATAAAGCTATATCCGCAATTGTTTTCAATAGTGAATGTTGATTGCTTTCAAGATTAGGACGTCCCACTGAATCCCTCAGAGATAGTCCTTTTTTTATTTCTGGATTTTCATGACAAATATCTTCTAACTTTCTTTTCATACCATCCTTGTGTTTCTTCTGGGCGACTGCGTTTTGAACCTTCCTGTTTAAAGACTGTTTTGCTGTTTTTATTTCCTCGCGCAACTTAATGATCTGTTTATCAACTTCAGCACGGCTTGGTATAGTATCTCTTGCAGAATACAAAGCATTCAGATTTTTTTCGAGTAGAGCAATCTTATTTTTCATAGCTTCCTGAGAAGGTTTTGCTCTCTGTTTATCTATATTTTCATTAATCTCGCATTGCTGTTGTGATTCATTACCGGGTTTTATTTTATCTTCTTCCTCTTTTCTAATATTTGAAGCTGACTGTATAATTTGTGTTTTTTCTGCAGGTTTACAGGTTGCCTAAAAATAACAACTTTCTATGGCTTCTGCTAAAGATTCTCTTATTAAGCTACATGAATACAAAGTATGGCAATATATATGGTAAATACAAAACCCTATGGCTTTAAATCTAATATGTTTAAACGAGTAATTCATTCCGGTCACAAAATACAGCGTTTTAATTTTCTGTATATATGTATAAAACTAATATCCTGTACTTTGTGACCAATTGACGGAATCAATCATAAGAAATAAATCTATAATATAATGAATATTACCTCTACACTTTGATAATATTTTCTAATCAGTAAAGAGAAACTTTTTGGCGATTTCTAATATTTCTAGTACTCATAGGTACCTAAAATGATTTCGTCACTCACCTTAGAAATAACATTCGCCGCTTGCAATTCTTCTTCGATTCTCTTAGATACAATAATATATAGTTCCTTGTCGGATTCTGCTTGTAATTTGTAATTTCGCTACACTTCGTTAACTAACTTTTGTACATTTTGTACTTTCGTACTTGTATGAGATTTTTTAAAACTTTCAAACAATTTTTGGTATAACTTGGATTTGTCTATGTGAAACGACATCTTATTTAAACATTAAACACAAATGCTAACTTGCTTTACTATGCTTACAATACGTCTACTCGCTAATAGTATCCAAACGAAACAATACACTGATAGAGGAAATTTAGACAAGTGAACACCGCGCGGTAATTCCCCTACTCGGTTCTAAAGCTAGTAGGGGAATTACCGCGCGCTGTTCACTAAACGTATGCATTATTTGCGGGTATACCCGAAAATGCGTTTCGTTTTCAAGCAAAGACAATGTGAGGGTTGCCAGTCATGTAAAAAAGTAAATAACTACCGATGACGTAATCATCATCTAGACCCCCTACCCCCCATGTCATCCAAAATAAGCAAAGCAAAGTACCCCCCCCATGGTGTTCACGTGTATGTATCTTTAATCATGTAGTACATGTTAGACAAACATATTTTAAGCTTTTAATATGTTATTTCTGCTGCTTTTTTCATAAAAAAGTGTTTCTTTTAAGATGGTCATCCGTCTTTGATAGACTACTGGTTCCATTACAAGTGGGTTGCACTGTATTTTTATTCTGTTCACAATATTTGTTCAAATACGTTGCCATTACTTTCTAAACATAAATATAATCTCTAAACAGTCGAATTCAAAATATCAGGTCACACTTCCGGTAAAATCATACTACATAATTCCATTACACACTCTCTTAACTACCGTCCAGTTTCAAAAGTATGCTGAAAAAGACGTCAATTTTTGCTGGAAGCATAAGCCACATATTTAGCCTGTTTAACTATGACCTCCGTGTTGCACGTGAGGCACGAAAATTCTGCATACATTTCTAACGCTGGAATCGAACAAAATGCAGAGTTAACTGTTTACTAATGGGCTATTAATAAATTCCGAAAGAATAACGGCCTGAAGAAGTTAACTTCCTATTAGGAACTATATTGGAAATTGCCGTTGGATAATCGTATTATAATGATTGTCAAATTTTAGACTATGGGATAGTTGTCAAGTGTAGGAAAGAATTTTATATACAGGGTGTTTCAGTTTATTGTTGCATAACTTTAAGATTCGATAGAACTTTTAAAATTAATGCATAAAGTCTATATAAACATGGGTCGAAAAATGCGTTGCTTCCGAAATACAGGGTGTTTAAATTTACTTTCTAAAATAGTTTTTTTTTAAATATTTCGAACAATATTTGATGTATAACAGTGAAAATTGGTATACAAGGGTTTTTTGGTTCGACAAAACGAACCATGGGCATAGTTTTACTGTAGCCTGCTTTTTGAATAAAAAAACTGATTCTTCGCACTTTTCAACATAAAAAAGCTCTCTTGTGAATATTCGTTATAGTTAGCGTTAGTTTTGTTGTCTGTTGAAACCTGAAACGTTTTTTTGCAATTGTGAATGCACGAAATTTAGTTTCTTTTATCTGTTTTTTTGTAAGTTTTATAAAAATGCCATTTTTATTCTCCAATCAAGAGTTAGCGGATATTCATTTTGTGTATGGCTTTGTAAATGGAAACGCAGTAGAAGCAGCCAGAGAATACGCACGAAGATTTCCAAACAGACGACATCCAACTCGCTCAGTATTTGTAAGAGTGCATCGCCAAATAATTGAAAATAGTTTTAGAAATCTCCAAAGGGATCAAAACATAAATGTTCGTCAGCGCAGATTTACCCGTATGATTCTGCGTGAGTTTGATAGAGATCCGACCACAAGTGTTAGGAGAGTTTCTGGTGCCTTGTGAATTTCAGCAAGCCATGTTCACCGTGTACTTAGAAAGAAGAAGAATCACATTTTTTCAGTGGATTCTTGATAGAACTGATAATAATAGGGAGTTTTATGGACCGATGAGTCATGCTTCACTAGACGTGGAGTGGTAAATTTTCATAATCAACATATTTGGTCGCATGAAAATCCGCATGCAGTTCGGGAAAGAAATTTTCAGCATGAATTTAGTGTGAACATGTGGATTGGTATCTACCGTAATCGACTATTTGGACCCTACCTTTTGCCTGCAAGGTTAAATGCTGCGTCCATCTTGGAATTTTTAAAGGCTGAACATGCAAATATGTGGGATGATGTTATGTTAGATTTAACAAGATTGGCCTGGTTCCAGCTTGATGGTTGTCCAGCTCATTATTCGAGAATAGTTAGAAACTGGCTGGACGAAAATTATCCAGAAAGATGGATCGGCCGTGGAGGACCAGTCCCCTGACCTAAATCCATTAGATTTCTTTGTGTGGGGATTTCTAAAAGAAAAAGTGTACCAGATTCCCGTAACCACAAGAGATATGCTAATAGACAGAATCAGGAATGCATGTGATGAAATAAGGCCTTATTTGAATAATGCTATACCACGTTCGATCATTCGTAGATGTGAATTGTGTATTGAACAATTGGGTTTACATTTCGAGCAACTACTTTAGATTTTGTATGTTTGTCCTAACTATCCAATAGCATTTTAGTTGTAAATAATTAATTTAATTTGTTAAAAATAATATTGGAAAATTAAACAAATTAATATTCTGTCTTTTTGTGTTTATTTGGAGTTAGGAATTATTGCTGTGTTTAAAAACACAATCTAAACGATCATCTTAATTACTTGTAATGCCCAAATCGGAAATGTAAAAAGAAATATCATTTTCCCATAAATGATTAAAAATGCATCGAACCTTAAAAATCGAAATATCTCAAAAACGGCTAACTATAACGAAAATTCACAAGAGAGCTTTTTCATGTTGAAAAGTGCGAAGAATCAGTTTTTTTATTCAAAAAGCAAAAAATTGCACTAAGAAAAATTTTTCGGCCATTTTAATACACTACAGGTACAGTAGAGAGCGCCCTCTAGCGGCTACAGTAAAACTATGCCCATGGTTCGTTTTGCCGTACCAAAAAACCCTTGTATACCAATTTTCACTGTTATACATCAAATATTGTTCGAAATATTTAAAAAAAAACTATTTTAGAAAGTAAATTTAAACACCCTGTATTTCGGAAGCCACGCATTTTTCGACCCATGTTTATAGAGACTTTATGCATTAATTTTAAAAGTTCTATCGAATCTTAAAGTTATGCAACAATAAACTGAAACACCCTGTATATTACTGAGGTATTTCATGCAAAAAATGTACGGTTTTTTTGAGTGGTGTGTGGCGTGAGCTTTTTATGTAGCGTGAATGAAGTTTTCCAAGCATGAACGATTTTAGATTGTACATGTATACAAATTGAAGTAGTGGATTAATAAAAATAAATAAATAAATAAATTATTCTTCACATAATTTTCTTCACATTAATTGTTTTTAGCAGGAACCGATCATTAACCCGTATTAAATTGTTATGGTGACTTGGATACGTCACAATAAAACAAATAAAAACCAAGTTCTCAGAGTGCAGAACAACTGGAAGGTGCGTAACTTATTGACTAACTAACTCAATAGACAAAGTGGATATTACACATCAAACGTATTACCAAAATAACCAAATTATTAGTTTGGCGAGCTATTTTTTAATAACCTCTACTACTGAGTTAATCTACTTAACACCGTTCATCTTTTCAAGTCCGTTTGTCTATAGGTTAGTCTGTCGGTTGGTGTGTTTGTCACCGCGTATGGCGTGATGCAACAATGGATCGCGAAGTAATCAACAGAAACATTAAATACTATAAAAAATAGCTACAAGTACACTCTCATCAGTTGATGAAGGATTATGTTCGCTACAGGTTAAACCCTCTGGCAAAACAGGTTAGCCACGAACTTGTATAACAAAAAATTATACAGATCAAGTCAGTCAAATAAACTCAGTTAGATCATAGTCCCCACCCCTTTGACAAAGTTACGATGTAAAACACTGCTCACCAGCTACCAAGCATACCTTCAGAGTAGCATGACGTAGCCATTGCCATGCGTTAGATACATATTAAATTTGAGGTACAGAAATCCTTGCAAGAATGAATTCATTATAAACATAATATAATGACATTACCTTGAGTTTACATCTGTGCTTGCCTCATGGATGATGAAACTCATTCCTCACAAATACATCAAGATAGTCATAATTACATCAGAAACTAAGACCATTTGTGTCCAAATCGACATCGCCTTCCCGAAACTAGAAATAGTGTTAATTACCATTCGCTAAAATGAAACAACCTATCGCCAAATAAACTGCAATCTCTCGATTTTGAACGATTTGGCAAAACTGTTTTTCTGCCGTAGAAGGCTTCCTTAACCTTACTTTTTTCAAATTGGCATAATTTTTATTGTATTTAGTCTGTTTTACATTTTTTAACTTTCTTTATTTATTGTTCATCTAAAATTTTAACTTTAGTATTATTAACTTTTATACCTTTTATTGGAACTTTGTTTTTATGTTTGTCTTATTTACGTAGTATTTGTTGTTTTTACTTGCTCTTTTATGTTCTAATTTAATTGACCCGTGTATACGCGTTTCTGTGTAATATCATCTGTTTTATTAATATTATACTAAGTGACATATAAATCCGAACACCCAGTTTAAATGGTTTTATTTTAATAAAAGTTGGTGAATGTATTTATCTTACTGTAAATAACAAGTGAAAAAATTTTCAGCCTTATCAGTTGGACATTCCGGTTTTTATACTGCTTTTTTTTAATTCACTAACGCTCTAAAAATGAATATTTCAGCCGCAGTAAAAAATCAACGTTGGCGGATTTTGGTTCTTGACATCCTTTAGGATCGGTTACGATGCCTAGAGTACGGAGACCTGTACGATTTCGTCAACTTAGTGAGTTTGATAGGGGCCGTATAGTGGGACTTCGGGAAGCTGGACTTTCTTTTCGGGCAATTGCAGTTAGAGGGCAAAGAAGTGTAGACACTGTGGTTAGGTGTTGTCAGGCATGGCTTCGAGAAGGCCGTACGCAAAAAGCAAGGGGCACTGGACGCCGCCGTAGAACAACAGACCGTGAAGATCGCCGCCTAAGATTATTGGCCTTAAGGGACCGTTTCTCCACTACCAGGTCCATTGCAAATGAATGGTTTGCAGAACACGGAAGACCTATTGGCATGCGAAGTGTTTACCGACGAATGAGAAGTTTTGGCATGTTTTCATACCGGCCACACTGGGTCCTCCCTTTAACTCGAGAACACCAACGTAATCTCCTTGAGTGGTGCAGACAACGGTCACTCTGGGATCAGGAATGGAACAGTATTGTCTTTAGTGATGAGTCTCGATTTTGTTTAGGCATGCACGATGGTCGTGCCAGGGTTAGAAGGCGACTTGGTGAAAGGAGGAATCCACAGTTTTTTGTTGAAAGACATGTTCATCACACTGTTGGAGTTATGGTTTGGGGTGCTATAGCTTATGGTTCCAGGTCACCTTTAATCTTCATCAGAGGTAACATGAACGCGCAGCGTTATATCCACGAAGTTCTAGATCCCATCTTTTACCCTATCTTGACACCCTGGCAGATCCAACTTTCCAACAAGATAATGCCCGACCACATGTTGCAAGAGTCACAATAGATTTCTTTCAACATAATGATGTCACATTGTTACCATGGCCACCAAGATCTCCCGACTTATCCCCAATTGAGCACGTGTGGGATATGATAGGTAGGAGATTGCTCAATTTGCAATGTCCCCCTCAGACTCTAGAAGCACTTCGAGAGGAGTTGGTGGTTGCCTGGAATGAGATACCGCAGGAGGACATTGACCACCTGATCAGAAGCATGCCTAGGCGCGTTGGAGAATGCGTAGCACATCAGGGTGCATCCACACATTATTAAAAGGGCTTTAAAGCAGTGCAATCATATTGAAATTTTTATCATTTACTTATTATGCTTCATTAAGTACTTATACAAAATTTTATTAAAATAAAACCATTTAAACTGGGTGTTCGGATTTATATGTCACTTAGTATATTTAACATGGTTTTTCGTGATTCAGCTATTAAGTGACCCTCCTCAAACTTCTTGGTATGACCGTTTAGAAAAAAAACTATACAAGACTGGTAGAGTCTGACATAAAGCTTTACGTGCATTATCATTTTTATATACAGGGTGACTAAAAAAAGCGTTATCGAATATAGTTGTATTTTTTCAAATGGAACATCCTGTATACTTTTAATTTCTGAACTTAAATTGCTTTTTGAAATATCCAGATTTGTAAAAGAAACAAACTTTTTTACACATCCTCAAAGTTGCACCATTTTAGAGCGTTGTATCATGATTTTTAGGGGCTCAAAGATTAAAACGCGACAAGCCCAGTGTCTTCAAAGTTTCTCAATCTCAATCCTACATCAGTGGTCATTTCTGGGATGAGTTTCCTTCATCGTTAATGCGTGGAAAATAATCTCACAGCCAATAACTTTTAATTTCAGAATGATGACATATGAGTAAGCTTGTGTAGACCGCAGCCTTAGCATAAACCGTAGTGTAGTAGGAATTTCACCTAACTGTTTCTTACGCGGCGCGACGGTCGATCATGGTCGGAGCCAGAAAATGTTACTTTGCGGGCGGGCCAATGTGGTGCCATTTAAAAATTGTTTCTATGAATACATATTTCTTTGAATACGAAATTGGTCCGAGAACCGAACCCTGAGGGACACCGGCTCTGACGGGTCGCTCTGCCGACAAGACATTATTAATTTTGACCAGAAATTGTCTACCTAAAGTGTATCTAACGAAGCTACAAAGTAATCGTAAACAGTGGTTGATTCGTGATCAACGCGTGATCGGTAGCCATGGCGCTCTGTCGGCCTCTTCCTGATTGGCTTGTAGCGACGAGCCTCCAGACAAAGTCGCACGGTTGCCACGCTCGGCGAGTTTTCGCCAGAGTGGTTGATCACATTCGCATGGATCACAAATCAATCTGTTGGTGCAATACGTGCAATAACTGTTGTAAAGGACATTATATAACAATAAATGGCATCACAAAGGTATATTCCAATTTGATCTGCAGCAAATTATGAACGGCATATACGGAGATGCGAAAACAAGCTCAAAAAGGTGAAGAAAATTTTTGTGCAATCTTTATAGTTAAATTTTTCCTAAGAGATAGCATCAGTGAGGGAATTTTTTTCTATTGTCTTATTTTTCACATTAATGCGATGTCGAGGTATGTGGCCCTATCGCAATTGAAAATAAGGTTTCGATAATCCTTCCATAAAGTTTCGATGAGTACATCTGAAATAACCTTGAGATATTCTTCAGGGAAATACAAAAATCTCCTTTTGTGTTTTTTTTGTGCAGATTTATCTATTAAAATCCTATCCGCAATCTATTTTCCGTGCACACACCTTCAACCGAATGTATGCCATATATGATATTACCGTTTCCAACTTTCACCAAGGTTAATAGGAACCATAACAGCTCCCTACCCTTCCCCCCTATAAGAATATCGATTTGTAGCCTCACATTTCAAGGTTAGACTTCTTGTAATGTTTCTGTTCAACATTCGGCGATTTCTGACAATTTTCCCAATAAAACATGATCATGGTGACATTAAGCCTGGCGACGCTGCATAGTAGAGGGAACTCTCAGCGTCACGTTGATGGTTCGTCACCACGCACAGGATTGTAATCAGTTACGGATACCCGTTTATGAGCGCGAATGTTTTATGCACGTCTTGACTTGATTTTTCTTGCGGAAATTTAATATTAGTCTAAAATGTCTGACACAGATACAGCTGATGAAGTGGTTGAAATCAGCTTAACGCCACCCAGCAAAAGGGCTAAAAAGCTTCATCTTAGCGCAGGTGAAAAACAAATTATTCTAAATATCTACAAGAACCAGATGCAAGAGAATAGTGGATTGGCTATAGAAAATATCGTATGTAAGGTTGCTGAAATTTCTGGAGTAGGTCGATCAAGTGTTTACAAAATCTTGAAGGAATATAGACAAAATCACTCACTATCTGAGCCAAAAACATATCCAGCGAGAAAAAAAATCATCGAAAAAATAGATGACTTTGACAAAAGTGCCATTAGAAGAAAAGTACATCACTTTTTCTTCAGGAATGAAATACCTACAATAGATAAAATATTGAAGCAAGTGAATGATGATGAGGACCTGCCAAATTTTAAAAGATCTACGTTCCATAAGCTGTTGAAAGAACTAGACTTTCGATTTTTGAAAAGAGGAAGGAATAGTTTATTGATAGAAAAGGAGGAAATTGTTATCTGGAGGAGAGAATACCTTAGAAAAATTAGGCAATTCCGCGCTGAAGGAAGAAACATTTATTATTTAGACGAAACATGGGTGAACGCGGGGCATACGCAGGGAAAGCTTTGGGTAGACAGATCTGTGATGTCCTCAAGGCAGGCTTTTTTAGATTTCCTTTCGACGGGATTGAAAAATCCTGTAGGTAAGTTTCGAAGTATATGAACTTTTTTGGATGCAGATAATTCATTTTCTGATCGAATCAATGATTTGGAAGCTCCGAACTCAGTTTTGCTATCTCATCCAAGTTTCTGAGTATTTCCTTCACCCAAAAACTAATCTAAGACCCTATCCTACACTAACCTAAAAAGAGTAAGTTGCTTAATTTCGTCATTTAGTGCGCTCGCTGAGAAGTAAAATAACTAATTACTTTCAGGCAAGGGAAAACGCCTGATCATTTGCCACATAGGTAGCGTAGATGGATTTGTTCCTGAAGCATTGTGGGCATTTGAATCAAAAAAAAACTGGAGACTATCACGAAGAAATGGATGGTAACTCATTTGAAAATTGGTTCAAAAAAATTTTGCCGACACTTGATGATAACGCAATTATTGTGATGGATAATGCCCCGTACCACTCCAGAAAATTGGAAAAAATTCCAACAATGGCCACCAAAAAGGCAGACATTCAACAGTGGCTTGTCTCAAAGAAGATCGTCTTCGACCAAACAATGGTCAAAGCTGAGCTGATAAATATAGTCAAGCGACATAAGTATAAATATGATTTAAAAATTGTTGACGAAATGGCCAAAAACCAAAATAAAACGATTCTCAGGCTGCCTCACTATCACTGCGAACTGAATCCTATCGAGTTGATTTGGGCCGACATC